AAACGGTAACAAATGATACTTAAACAAAATAGTGTAATAAATAACAACATTATAACAACAGTTATGAAGCAAATGTTATTTGTGAGCTCGTTCAGAGATGACAACCACATATGGGTGATGTAGAATGACGTAAAAGTATCTCAAAACACCATTATGATCTTTAACAAAAGATCATGACTAATAAAGTAGAACAAACGACCGATATGAAATCTGTTTTAAAAACAGCGGTAGTGTGAATATTAATCAGACAATCGATTATGTCCGTTTTACAAACTATACAGAGAAGCCATAAATATTGAATATAAATGAGATTACATGTAAAGTGACACAAACAAATGAAAAACGCGGTCTTTCTTTTGTCCTCACAAAAGTCAATGAATGTACATATTCACAAAGAAATTCACAACACTGACTTCTTGGCCAAAGGGCTATTAAGTTCAAAATAATCTAGTTTGAATTTTGCATTGCTTTCTGTGAGACGTTAGATGCCCGTTTTTTCCAACAGGTAAGTTCAAACGCAACCGAAGAAAAATGTTTTGTTCCAATCGTGTGAATTATAAAAATGATTAAACGAATAACACTATAGGCAATTAAGGTCACAGATTTGTTTTAAAATATCTTACGATCAAATATAAAACACATCAAGTAATTGTACATTTAAATAATATCAACTAGACGCGTTTTTAGACACAAAGGCACTCTCCAGAAATGTCATAGTATGTTCCTTTAGATTCTGAAGGAGAAAGGGTTTGTCTGGTCCCATCTTTGTCATCACCCTTTAACACCCCGAAAGAGCGCGATCCAGATTTTCTACCAACAGGAAGTTCGGACACTAGCGACAATTATCCAAAGTAGAATCTAGGAAATGACTGACTTTCTACCTAGAAGTTTAAGTGACCTCTTACCACCATAAATAGAGGCTTGAGAGTGAAACTTTACACCCCGTTCACAGGTATTTAAACCTTGTGCAAACTGGGGATCAAAAAGAAGACACCTAGGTAACATCTTATTTTCCTTACCACAGATCAGTTCTATTTATAATGCCATCTAGCAATTCCTCAGTGAACAGCTGCAAGCGGAAGCACGATTATCAACTCTTTACTTATGGAGTGGTGTCCTCCTCTAGAAATAATGTTTAAATACATACGTCAACGAGGAAGGTCATTTTTTCAGCAACCAGTTCTACCACTGTTATATTTATTCATATACCATCATTATTACCAATATTAGCAGCTTATTCCACCCAACCTTAATTCCCATCATCCCCGTCAATTTATTGCATTGGCATACACATATTTTCATTTGCTTTTTTGGAGGACGCAGCTGCCCTCTTGTGTGGACAATTATCCTATAGATTCCAAACTACTCCAACTAGACTTAATAGCTGTTGTCTCAGTAATCCTGCGACCACAAAAAGCACTTACTAATTTTCCTTACGCTTGTTACGCATCGTAGAAGACCAGAGGCCGCTCGCAAGCATTCTCCATCCAACTCTGTCCTGAACGATCCTTTCCAGTTGTTATTTATCCTTTGGATGTCTGCTTCCAATTCCTGGTGCAGTGTGTCCTTTGATATTCCTCTTTTTCATTTCCCTTCAGGATCATAAGGTGGCGCCTGCCTCATGATACAGTTTGGTACATGCTACTTATGCCAACAGATACAAGTAGTATGGAACACCAATCGGAAGTGGAAACCCTGGCAGCAGAAGGCTAGGAAGATCGGATTGAGGAAAGTAAAAACGGAAGGGTCATTTAGAATATGAAGGACAAATAATGGAAATTTGCAAGTAACGTATTCAATGTGTGGTTCTCATATTTTACCAAGATTTTGTGTAATGTTGTATTAAATGGTATTCGATTGTCCACACCTGTGTTCTCATTCGTTACAATTCCCGCAATGTGTGTCTTGTCCACATCTAACTTCTTTTTCTGGTTTCTGTTCCAGCTGAGAGTTGGTTTATTCTCTCCCACAGTAGGCTGTTGCTCATGGTATCCGGCAAATGGACATTGAGTATCTTGAGTAGACAATTGTTTATAAAGAATTTTACATTTTTGGTGATGTTTATATTAGTTCTACAAGTTTCAACTCTGTACAGTAGAACTGTCCTGATGTTCTTATTAAAGATTCTGACTTTGGTGTTGGCTGACAGTTGTTTTGAGTCCCATATGTCCTTCAACCGTAGGAATGAGGTTCTTGCTTTGACAATCCTTGCCTTCACACCTGTATCAGATTCTTCTTGTTCACCGGTGGTGCTGTCCATGTACGTGAAAGTCTCCACCCCTTCCAAAGCTTCTCCATCAAGTGTGACTGAACCTGTGTTCTCTGTGTCATGTTTGACCATCTTGGATTTTCCCTTGTGCATGTTATGGCATGCTGATGCAGAGGCTACTGTCACACTGGCTGTCTTCGACTGCATTTGTTCGTGTGTATGAGATAGGAGGGCTATGTGATATGGGAAGTCCAAATCGTCTAGTTATATGCAAGCTGTCCATTGCATTCCGTGCTTTCCCTCAGATGTGGAGACCTTCATAATCCAGTCAACCACCAGAAGAAACAGAAGAAGGGAGGGTAGGCAGTCTTGTTTGACTCCGGTCCTCATTTGGAATGCAACTGTCAGCTGTTCTCCGTGTGCGACATTGCAGTGTAGTTCGTCGTATGAATTTCGCATGATGTTGGCGATTTTCTCCGAAACGCCATAGTGTCGAAGAATGTTCCATAAGGTCCTCCTATCCACACTGTCAAATGCTATCTCATATCCATGGACATTGTTGTATGGTGACAAATTCCACTCAACTGATTGTCTAACGGTGATCCGAGGTATCGCGATTCGGTCTGCGCACGACCGATCCAGTTGACCTCAAAATTGGGCGTGTACTGAGTCTTTCATCCGGTTCAGCAACACTCTGTTGAAAACCTTTCTTGGTACTGACTGTAGTGTGATGTCTCTGTAGTTCTCGCATGTGCTCAAATCTCCTTTCTTTGGGATCTTAGTGAGGTATCCTTCTTTCCAGTCCGCCAACACTCGTTACTCCTCCCAAATCTTCCTGAATAGAACATGGTGCATGTTTGCAGTTACTTGCACGACTGAATTCAGAGTTTCAGCTGGTATACTGTCAGGTCCTACTGCTTTCACACTGTCGATCTGTCTGATGAACATCCTGATTTCTTCGATCGTTGGTGGAGTGACATCGATAAGAAGGTTCATAAGTGCTGCTTCGATATCTGGTGGATTTGATGGAGCTGGTTTATTCAAGAGTTCCTCGAGGTGCTCCACCCATTTGCTCCTTTGTCCTTGAATTTCAGCGATTCGCTTGTCTTCTTTGTCTTTGACCTGTCTCTCTGGTTAACTATATTTCCCTGTCAGCTCCTTCATCGTATCATATAGCTGTTTATTACTTCCTTCTCTTGCAGCTTTTCCCGCTGTTTTTGCTAATGCTCTTCTTCACTTGCTTGTTTGCCTCTGTTTATTCAGATTTTGTCTTAAATTTCTCTGCTCTCGTTCAGCCCTTGTTAATTGCTGTCTTCTCGCTCTTCTTTTTTTCAATTTTGCGCAAGGTTTCGATAGAGATCCATTTCCTATCAATGATGCTTCTTGTGACCGAGCGTCTTTTGACATTTTGAAATTAGTGCTTCTCTGATCACTTTCCAGTTGTTATCCATATTAGTTTCTTCTTCTTTCAGTAAATCTTGTAAGACTTGGAGCCTGTCGTTGAGAATTACCTTGAATTCTTGAGTGTATATCAGCTCCACTCCTGGTTCTCATGTCTTCCACCGACCTTGTGAATAGGATACTGATGCAAATATGATCAATCTGGTTCTATGCAGTGTAATCCCGTGACATTCATGTGGCCTTGTGTATGCGTTTGTGGGGAATATTGTTCCTATGACCATTTCTTTGAATATACATACATTTGCAAATCTGTCACCATTATTGTTCCTCTCTTCCAGTCACTCCATGTCGTCCCATGATACCTTCATACCCGGTGTTGTCTATTCCGACGTTGGCGTTTAGATCTGCCATCAGGATGGTCGGGTCTTTTCTTGAGCACTTCGCTATGACCGGTTGCAGCCTCTTGTAAAACTGATCTTTATTACCGTCATTGTTATCATTGGTGGGTGCTTGACATTGGATAACATTCATTGTGATTCCCTCCTTCTTTGTTCTGTAGGATGCTTTGATGATTCTGGATCCATCAGATTCCCATCCAAATAAGTGCTTTTCGTGCTCGTTCGGACAGTATCAGAGCAACTTACTGAGTGTGCAGAGCATTTTATTCTTCATGATCAGAGTACAGAACACTTCTCCAGAATCTAACCTTTTCTGTCCAGCTTTGGTCCAATGGGTCCCACTGATTCCGAGAACCGACAAGTTGTATCTCCTTACTTCCACAGCTAGTTGATTGGTCCTCCCGCTCTTCCACATCGTCCGAACATCCCATGTACCTATATTAATTGTTGCTCTGATTGTCAGAAGAAGTATCGATCTCGTGACTTCCAAAGAATCTCGGCTTGCACCATGAGGCGTCATAATTCTTCATTCATTTCTCAGAGCGGAATTCAAATGATTTAATTTGTTTATTCTGGTAGAATTTTTTATCAAGTTTTTTTCTGTGGGATGGGGTTGCTGATCTAACGCCTAACCCTCCTCCTTTACCCGAATTTTGTGGCAGGCAGTAACTCTAGAATAGCTACAGGCGGAATTTAGAAAAAACACCGACTTATGATCTTGTCATTTCAACACGAACTTTTGAGTTTACAACGGCTAATGGGAGGGAGTGTGTAAACTACTCATACGTATGTGATACTAAGAAACATGTGTAATATTAATGGGGTCAGATATTTCAAAGTATACACCGTTATAAAACTGAAACCCAGAAACAACTTAAACCCAGTGAAATCTACAGAAGTCTTATGACTATTCCTTAATGCCAAAACTCAAGTGAAAAAAATTAAATCTTTTACTACTGCTTGTCTCAAGAATATTGAAAATTGGATAACTTGACATTCTAGCGGGTCACCTGACCTATTACTAAACGCAATGGCTGCTCTTGTAAGTATTGTACGGTACAAGTTTATTTAGTTTAAATGCTCTTTTGACAAGCATGAAACTATTAAAATGGATTTTAGGAAGTTGAATCGTTTCCACGTCGGTCGCCAAAATATTTGTCTGGAGAACCCTCAAGGAAAGTTAAGCGTGAAGCGGAGAAAGGGACTTTGGAACCTACTCCTCCTCCCACTGATGGGATAAAGAATTATTATATGAACAAGATCGATGAACATCAATTTATTTACACTGAGAAAGTCCTCAATTTAAGGCGACTCGAGGCTCAGAGGAACGAGTTAAACGCTAAAGGTAGCGATACTTATTTTCCACTTATATTCCTTAGTTCGAATGCTTCGGGAAGAGCTGCAGCTTTTACAGGAACAAGGTTCATTTGTTGGAGAAGTCATAAAAGCTATGGACAAAAAGAAAGTGTTAGTTAAAGTACAACCGGAAGGAAAATATGTCGTGGACATCGACAAAAACATTGAAATGTCTCAGATATCCCCAAACTGCCGTGTGGCTCTCCGAAGTGATAGTTACACGTTGCACAAAATTTTGCCAAGCAAAGTTGATCCCCTTGTGTCTTTGATGATGGTAGAAAAGGTTCCCGACTCTACTTACGAGATGATTGGAGGCCTAGATAAACAGATCAAAGAAATTAAAGAAGTCATTGAGCTTCCTGTAAAACACCCAGAGCTTTTTGACGCTCTAGGAATAGCACAACCTAAAGGCGTGTTGTTATATGGGCCCCCGGGTACAGGGAAAACCTTGTTAGCTCGTGCCGTTGCCCACCATACTGAATGTACATTTATTCGTGTCAGGTATTATCAGTTGATCTATACTGTATGTCCTTCAGTGGTTCTGAACTTGTCCAAAAATTCATCGGCGAAGGAGCTAGAATGGTTCGTGAATTATTTGTTATGGCGCGAGAACATGCACCATCTATAATTTTCATGGATGAAGTTGATTCAATTGGATCCACCAGATTAGAAAGTGGCACAGGGGGAGATAGTGAAGTTCAAAGAACTATGTTAGAGCTGCTCAATCAATTGGATGGGTTTGAACCCAAGCAAAATATAAAAGTAAAGTTAACACACTATTATTACTCTATAGGTTATCATGGCAACAAATCGTATTGACATACTTGATTCAGCTCTTCTAAGACCTGGCCGAATTGATCGGAAAATCGAGTTTCCTGCTCCGAATGAGGAAGCTCGATTAGATATCCTGAAAATACACTCTCGAAAGATGAACTTAACTAGAGATATCGACCTGCGTAAGCTAGCAGAATCAATGCCTGGTGCTAGTGGTGCAGAAGTCAAAGGAGTGTGTACGGAAGCCGGTATGTACGCGTTGCGAGAACGTCGGGTTCATGTTACGCAAGAAGATTTTGAATTAGCAGTTGCTAAGGTAACTCGGTTTTTAGCTAGGTCGCTTGTGCTTGATGTTTTCAATTGTCCATTTGGATTATTTTTATTCAAGAAGTAGTTTATAAATGTTTACACTCTGTTTTCCCTTAAACTAAGAGATTTAAAATGGCTTCATATCTTTCTACAAACTAACTCTTCCTGTACTATATTCTTATATGCAATCTTTTTATATATTACCACCATTGACTTAACCATTCCTATGAATCCGGTGTTCATCTTGCTGTGCTAATGCGGTATGGCAACTTGGACCGTTGCATATATGTGCCTGGTCCCAAGTTGTAGCTGACTGACTTAGAAATGTTTGAGAATTCAGAAGAAAGTAGAAACGCAAGTTAGAGGGCATAAAATATAGTACGTGTAGTTTTACACCTATCACAATCCATTTCGTTTAGAAAGGGAGAAGGGATGAAATGTTCAAATGGTGTGTAGTAGTTTTTCCTACTATGGTTTAGCCACCGAAGTTATTAAATAACATAGAGTAATTCTTTACTTTACCAGGAAATGAATAGATTCGAAGCTTTGTTCACAGCAAGCAGAGATAAACGATTTTAATCCAATCAGTAAATAATGTTTATAAAACCCATACTTTTTCATAAATGTGGAGTCAAAGTGACTGGTAACACTTCAGTTCTTTCGTCGGGTTATCATTCTACTATGAGGTGAATTGTGAATAAACTTGTAATCCTGTTTTCTATTACTCAAGTTATACCCTTCGATCACTACTTATCGACCTCAAAGCTCCACTCAGTAAGTCTACATGACTCAAATAGAAGATTATTAATGTCATGAATTGGCATTATTATTAAATATTCAAAGAATTTTGGGTAGTTCATATTACAGATATAGTCACATGACTATAAACACTGAGTTTTTACAGGCTCCTTACAAGTCGTTGAAGCACGTCGGTCTACTGCGGTCATTCGCGAGTTTAACCGTAAACGAAGGTTGTCTGGTTTCCATTTTAGACAAGGATGTGTTGATTCTTACTCCGCCAAATGTTGGAACACCATACTTATCGCAGGGCAATTATCGTAGTGTTTCTTAACATCAGGGCTGCCTTCGATTCGTTGGACAGAACTTTCTGTTAAAAAAGAGTATTAACATTCTGGAAGCCCTAAATACAAACACTCAGGCCATGCAATCCGCACTTAATCAGTGTCTGTAGGTATGACATACATTAAACCTTCTGAGTGCAAAGTACTTTTACAAGACGGGTAGGAGCTCGTGCCCAAGCTCACAATTGGTGGTGAGTAATTACAAGTTGCCGGAAAATTTGTGTAGCTGTGTAAGTGCCGGTGGTGGCGTGAGTGATGAGTTTAATTTACTTATGGTGATAACCAGAGCGGCTTATATCAATCCGGGTCATTGGTGCTTTTGCGATGTTGCTCTGGCTGCAAAAGGTCGGGTTTACAACGCATCGGTGAGAGCAATTTCGCTCCATGCTTGTGAAACCTGGCCTCCAACTTGAGGATGTTAGACGACTCTGTGTTTAATCATCGTTGTCCCTAAAGAATTGTTGACATCCAGTGGCAACATCATGTTAGTAATGCAGAGGTTAGACATCGTGTGTTCAGGCACAGCGACGATAATTCAATTAGTGTCATTATTTAAAAACACCGACTTTGGTGGTTTGAACAGGTACTACGAATGTCGTTCCAGAGAATTCCACGTCGTGCATCATTTGCCGACACTAGGACTGGTTGTAAAAAGCGGAGAGGTAGTCAGTGTATGGCACAATGTTGTGCTATGAAGGAAGGCCGTGCAAGATTGGCTTTTATTGGTCCTTCACGACTCCCTGGTTGGGGTTCTAGAGAAAGTGCAACACAATGGCTCGTGACATTACCAGGCATGGCTCCCAAATGTCCTGGTAAGGCGGAGGGTGGAAAGTCAACTCTCCCTCTCGAAATGCTATCACATGGCCACGCGTATACAGTCACTACCAGGAAAGTCCTACTCACTGCCTTATCGCGGCGGGGAAGTTGTTTACGAAATTGAAAGGACGAAAAACGAAGGCCCGGCACCACGTGAGAGAGTTGAAGAACCCTGATTCCAAACCGATGATGCACATAGGCTCCAGGATTCTGAGGGAACAAACGGCGTATGAACCAATTATTGGTCACCGGCTCCCATGGGGCTGCATCTCCTGACGTTGCTCCACTGCCTTGTGGATTAAACCTGTAGGTCGAAGGCTCCGGGTGTGGCCTCCTAAGAAAACCACCCGCTTCGATCTGGGCACCCGGGTAGTATCACAGCCCTCACGCAAACTGATTGATTTATGTGGCGCATATGTATTCGGTGCCCCTTAGTACCAATATTAGTGTTCAAATAAATCAATAAAATAAGTGGCTCAGGATATAAGCCAGTGGCGATCCTGCTTTGACTTTCATTTACTTTCTGCATGTAAGTGAGTGTAACTTCTTTAACTAGAAGAATCCTTTATGGTTGTAATTTTCCTAGATGAACTGCTCCTCCTATTATCATTACTATTATCATTCATTGTTGTCCTTTATATTATACTCACATTGCCTTCTCTACCTCTTCACAACCTTATTTTTATTGTGTGGTGCATCTATATTTTGATTCCTCTTTGTACCAATATTTGTGTTTAAATTAGTAATTGTAAATTTAACCAACGTGATCGACATATTAGCTTAAAAACAAATACTTATGAAGAAGAAAGTTGCTTCGTATATGAAAAAGGATTGAAAGTGAATTTATCTTCACTATAGTGAATTCTGATAATATGGTTTCATTTCTGTGGTCGCTGGTTTGTAGTTATATGTTAGAAAAGTCTTACATTTTTTCTGTCTCAAATTGGTTGTTTCAGAGATCATATTTACATTTTAATTCGTTTATCATAAAACTCCTAATCTTTAAAATTCTGTTCAATATATGTGACATCTCGAAATATACGTACCTACTTAAACTCCTAAATTCAGCAGTGACTTCTACATAATTTGTAATGTCTACCATTACGTACTAGTATCTAATCTTCGAGGTCTACGTCTTACCCTTACTATTAGGTAAAGTAAACTACTACGTAAACTCAGTTGGTGGCAGACACTTAAATGTACTACCTGCATCATGAATGAAGAAATCCGAAGATTAATATTTTCAGTGCCCAATCATTTTAAATGAACAGAGTGCGATAATTCTTAACCTCTGGCGCTCAAATCGTTGGGCGTTCTAAATTAATAGATGAATTAGTGGTAGTTGAGAAATTGAACGAATCTCCAAAATAAGTTGGTTGATAATAAAAATCGTTGGTACGACGGAAAAACACCATGCTTCACGTTGGAATAAATATCTCGAACACAATATATGTTAACACAAAATCTGTAGGCCAGTAAAGTTCATTGTTTCGTCCAGACTGGTTTCTATAAATGCCTTTGGTAATACTGTATAAGTAAACATGTATTTTCCTAATGACAATGACCAATTAGTGAAAGCCACGAATCTAAAGCAATAAGGACTACCACTTTGACTGCTTTCAGGGTCTGTGGTATTGTTCACACGGGACTATCAGTTTAATTGTTTGAAGTATCATTTGAGTTATGTGAGTCAGGCATAAACTTTCTAGCATTAAATCTTGCTGATTTATATGAAAGTGTAGAACTTTGACTAAGACCACGGCGAAACTGAATGCTATGGTTTTACAATCAACTTGTAAATGTTTGATTTAATTTAACTGTTGTGGGATTCACAGTGATACTGTTGTTTCCTTGTAGGGCGTTGTCGATTCCTATGAGTTTATTTTTCAAATAAAATTTTGTCTCTAAATATTTGTCTAAATCTCCATTTTATTGTAATTTTCTGTTTAATTTTATGCTCATTTGTAGGTGATGCAGAAAGATTCTGAGAAAAATGTATCCATCAAGAAACTGTGGAAATAAGGCTTTAAATTTATTTATTTTATATGACTAAACAATACCATTTTCTTTTGTAAAAACGTTACTGGTATATTCTGTTTTCATTCTTTATCCACTTGTTCATAGAAAAATGAACACCTTTTTTCCAGTTATTTAGATCGCTTCCATAGACTGCTTTATTTTTAATAACGAGGGTTTTGTTCTAATTATGTAAATTGTAGGTAATTAACACTCATACGTTCTTATTTTATTGTTACATAATCATCCATGTAGGTTTAATCTATCACTCGTGTGTCATAAACAAAAATTTCTAGGTGCAACTTGGTAATTTAGTGCTTGAGACCCAAAGATATTATCGTACCACCCAAAGTAAACCTGGGTTCAAATGTGCATTCCAGTAATTTAGTTTCGTATTCGTAGTCCTGAACTATTGCTGCATAAATTTAACAGTAAATTGCAGTCATTCATAAAAAACGTATAGCACACATATTTCATGCCATATCAGCACTGTGAAATCCAATCGTCTAGACAAATTTGAGAGTAGTAAAAATAAGAATATCAGCAGAACACGTTAAATGTAAACAGTATACTTTTCGAAAGAATAAATTTGCATATATGTGCCTGGTCCTGCATTGTAGCTGATTGACTGACAGAACGAATTTGCAAAGTAAATAGAAGTATATAATTTTAAAATTCATGATCTAATGAAAAAAGTGTCTGTTTTGACCGGTTGTCATCGAGCAGAATCCAATCAAACGGTCTTAGTTCATAAACATGGCTCAATCAGTTAGTCACTGACGTTATGAACTGATACCATGTATTGGTTTGGTTGTATCTAGCTTTGCAACTCACCCCCACACCGCCATTGTCGCCTATCGAAGTAGGTGGTAGCGGGAAATAATGTAGCTACGGTGTGGGCTACTTATATCTATATAAGTAATATATAACGGTGGTCAGGCATAAAATGTATTTCAGCAGAAGGAACGGGAACGGAACGCATTAGTATGAAAATGCATGAACAATGGAATCTGAGACGATGGATTGATGTTTTTCAAATTAATTAATTAATATATTGTTCTCAAATTTTATTGAGATGCTCTGCAGTTTCGTGTCAAATACATTCAATTGTCCCCACTCGTGTTCTTGTTTACTACACAGTTAATAGTGTAAGTACCTGGTAAAGTGGTTTATTACATTTGCTTGGTACTCTGTGTTTAGAGTCAGCAGTGCTCCGAAGGCATATTTTACCATATATTAGTAACTTGCCAATACTTTTCTCTTAAAGGTAACGTTCCATAGCTATAATGTAGAACAGGACGAACTGACCGTGCAGTATGCTTGTCTTTCTAACAATGTGACGGACATTTTGGGTACTTCATGGGCACTGACTCAGACCATATCTAAGACAGGATTTTGCATACCAAAAACACTTGTTGCTTAATTCAACTTGAAATACTGCATTTTCTTAGCGTTTTCACTAAACAGGATTATACGTATCCCAAGTTTATCAGTAAATCTAATGTATTTGTTCGCAACTAGTCAGAGGACGTTATTTTCAAAAGTCTATCAAAAGTGAGCAACCTTCACACACTACTTGATATCAATTCTGATGAAGGTTGACTACAGGCTCTGGCTCGGTCGGTGGTGTTTTAGCAGGCAGTTTTCTTTAAAACGCTCCTCAGTGGAAAACCTGTCGGTCAATCAACATAGTAAATCTTCATTTCCGGACAATACTTCTGAGTTCCTTGGCTGTAAATCTGATTAATTACGGACGAATTATTTTGCTGGGGTTTGGACCTCTTGCTTTTTATACAGCCCACAATATGTAAACGCTAAAAGTTAACTTGTAGTCATTTCTATTAATTGACAGTCCATTATCTGCAGCAGGAACCATATACTTTCATTGTGTTCACGTTTGTCCTCGTCTTTGTTTTAGATGTTTGGCCAATTACGAGTCATTACATATGGTTATGTTTCTCCTACCGTTGAAGGCACAAATTAACATAGCTATGCATTATTTTTCAGAGTTTTGATTCATAGGTTTGTCATTACGTTTGCACTTCCGCAAGTTAATACAATAATCATGTCTCCCCCATGAAGCAATCCTGTTAGACAATCCCATTGGGGATACGTTTCCCCCTTCTAAATGCAAAATGTAGCTATAGGATTTGTCTTTATTAATTATCGGAAGTGAACTAGTTGACCACCCTTCACTTACCATGGAGATTTCATAAGCTATCGTGGATTGAAGGAGTCTCGTCTGGTTTTTACCAACTTGGAGTAGACAAAATATCAATCCGCTAAGAAAAGGGGAAGCATACTGCACGACATTCTGCCTTGTGTTCCTTGACTAAATGAAAAACGGTCCACGAAATTAGAAGTGATGTATAGGGCGCAGGCTCTTGGTTGTTGGTCATTAAATCATAGTTTAGACATCGTTGAACCATCGAATAATGCTGAGGTTAGTACATAAGGCCGAGATGAGAATTCTTACGGAACTGTAGATTTCAAACATTAGATGAGGATAAGATATGTTAAATTCTCCAAACTACTGCCTACCACGTTCTCAATGTTGGCTGAAGTAGGAGCATATCATGGAAACTAGGCGATGGAGGACCAGATTAAGACGTGGGATCAGTTAGCGAAGTAATTAGTGGACAGTCACACCAGTAGATGCATACCACTTCGCTGTGGCCCACGCGATAGAGTCGATGTTAGGTGAAATGTCTAGAACATAGTTAATAATCCATATGTATTTATTAGGCATGTCCCATAAAGTCCGCAGCTTTAACGTGATCCCTTCCCACACTTATTTAATATTTTAAAGAACAGTGATACATTCCCATACTAGAATTCGCTGGGATACCGATCACCTACTTACCACACACGGATATTTTATAAGCTATCTTAACTGGGAGTGAAAAATGCAACTCCGAAGAACTTGGTCTTCACTATTCATCATCCTGGTTTGTCAAAAAAATGCTACCGTGATAATTACAGAGGAAGTAAATGGACTGTCATCCCTGAATAGAAGTATCAGTGGCAATATGAAAAGTTAGGCATCGAATGCTTTTCAGAACCTCCAGCTTAACTTTATTGTAATAATGTTTAAATGATGATCAAACAAATACGAGGCTGCCCGCTTTTCTGTTTGAAGTTTTGTGGCTTCTTGACACAAGTATTGAAACCATGAATCAAATGCTGAGAAATAATAAGACCGTTGATAAACAGACGCTTATTTCACGCATTCGGCTTCGAAACAGAAAATAAGCGGAATTTCCTTTAGCACCTAAAAAACCACAAGGATCGTCACAGGCTTTACAACTATTCACAGTACCCAAATTAGTATTCCTAACATGTGGCTCGCCCCCAAATGCCCTGGTATGGCCAAGAGTGGGGAGAGTCCGCTCTTCTCGAAATGCTCTCACATGGCCATGCGTATATAGCCTCTGCCAGGGAAGTCCTACTCACTGCCTTCTCGTGGCGGGGGTGTTTAGGGAAATGAGAGGACAAAAAGCGAATGTTCGGCGCTAAAACCGGATCTCAAATCAATAGTGCACATGGGCTCCAGTATCCTGAGGGAACAAATGGCGTACGAACCAACCGTTGGTCACCGGCTACCATGTGACTGCATCTCCTTACGATGCTCCGCTGTCTTGTGGATCAGATCTTCAGGTCGAAGGCTCGAGGTGTGGCCCCCTAAAAGACCACCTGCTTCGGTCTGGGCACCCGGGCAGTATCACAGCCCACACACAAATAAAATGTGTGGTGCATATGTATTTGGTGCTCTCGTGTACCAATATTTATGTGTTCAAACAAATAATAATAATAAGTAGACCGAATGCATAGTCAACCTTAGTCTGGGTTAATAAGACATAATAATTGGTACCTTATTACTTTCGTCTTGGTTTACCCGAAGGTAGCGTTCTACTTTAATACACCTCCTAGTGGTGGAATGATGCCGGAATACTTCACATCCCTTGATTTTATTTTTTTTTTTTGAGTATAAAGTATTCTCATATTCAGCTCAGACTTTACAGATAACGCTCTTTGTTCTGTTTATCTAACAATTGATTTTACTTAAGTAGTATTTTATCGACTAGTAATTCATATACAATGTACTCTTCTATGTTGAAAAAATAACTATTCAGAACCCCTGAAGTGAGAAATTACGTCTATAGGAAGTGCAATAAAACCTCGACACTTACGATATGAGTCTAACTAATCAATCAAAACACCCGATTACTTACTTATTAACATAAGTCGCAATCATAATATTCAGTATTCAACCATAAAGTGAACATACTGTTGTAATCTCACCTTGACTTAAAAACACGATTGCGAATTTCCTAAAATATATCTCCTTATAATGTTGTATATGGTCGGACCACAGAGTAGGTAATACTAACGCTGTTATGACTTTCATCAATGATCTTCTTGGTCTGCATTCCTTAGAATTTGAAGGGGAGTAAATTTAGTGCACATATCACAGTATTCAATAACGCGTTCTACAACAAAATGTATGAATCCACTAGCAGTACAACGCTTAGAAAATCATTGAGCTAAATGATCCAAACTTCAATATGTATAAAGAAAAGCTAGGCAAAAGTGATTAAATAATATAATATCAAGAATTAGGAGATCTATTATTACATAATACTCATGATAAAATAAACATAAAACTCTTCATTTATAAAATCTTCCTGAATATAATTACAATTAGAAAGCACATTGACAAAAGTAAATTTTGACAAGTTAGGTTATATTATCCTTGGCAGCTTAAGCACCCTTCAGGATTGTTCAGACTACAAGTAATAGCGTCTACATTCCGTTTCTGTATTTCCTCCATTATTCGAAGTTCTTCTATAGCTTCAACAGTTTGATCAATTGAATCATTATTTTGAGGTTCATTTGTTTTTGTTGTAGAATCAGTAAGCACTCGTAGAATAGTTTTGTCTACACTGAACTTGATAGGATCAGCAGCAGGTCGTGTTCGCAGATAGTACATACCTGTTTTCAGACCCTGGAAGGACAATACATCGTCTAATAGTTAAAAAAATCTGTTGAACAGATGAATAAAAAGACTGTACGCTACTACAAGTTATTGCATTAAATACCAAGCATATTATTAATCGGAAACACCATTATAAAGAAATTACATGGCATACCTTTCTCCAAGCATAGAAATGCATACTTGTTACTTTTCCATAGTTCGGTTGAGCGAGATGTAAGTTAAGAGACTGGCTCTGGTCAATAAATGGGGCACGACCTGCAGCCATATCGATAATCTGCTTTTGCGAAATCTCCCATACTGTCTTGTACAAAGGTTTTAACTCCATAGGAATTCCATCGATATGTTGAATAGAACCCTGATTCAAAACAATCGCTGTTTTAAGTTCGTCCGACCACAACCCTAATTTAGTAAGATCATCAAGAAGATATGGGTTCACAATCTGGAATTCACCACTTAACACGCGGCGAGAAAATACGTTGCTTGTGAAGGGTTCAGTAGACTCATTGTTCCCAAGAATCTGAGATGTTGATGCCGTTGGCATGGGGGCCAACAGGAGACTATTGCGCAAACCATACCTTAGGTAAAAAAAAATTTCCTACATTTGAAGGTGCGTGAATCATATTTTAGTGTACAAGATAATAAAATAAAGTCATCATAATCGCGCCAGCTTGTCCATAGGAGTGGATCATCAGTACCGAATAGTGACACGAGATATGATATGAAGAATGAAATAACAGGTGTTAATCAAATATGTGAACTTCTAAGACGAAACTACTACTATTAGTACTCACACACCATTATTAACGTAAAATTCACTTAACGTCTCTTACTTGATAGTATTCTGTAATTTTGTTTCTAGTCATCTCAAAACAGAAAATTATTCAGAACACGAACTACATGCTTTTTTGCATTTTGCTTACTTTTAAAAGCGATACATGAAACACGTTAATTGTTGTGTTTAACAGGGCTTTCACTTTTTTCCCTTGGCAACCTGAGCTAGAAAACCAATCAAATTTCTACAGATAAAACAAAATGAAATGTTCAAATCTGGAGGTTAAACGTGAATTAACAGTCAGATGTCTAACAAGTTCAAAACAAACTTTGCATCGGTCAAACT